GATTGCTGCCGCAAATCGGTGCTGAGGCCAATACCTTGCGGCGACTTCTCCACACGTTACACAACCCCTAGCCACCCACCTGCCTACCTGCCTTGCTACACTCATACACACATGCGCACATACACACGTACAGCGTGCACAAATACACACGCATGCACGCGCACACACACACACACATTGCATTTCGTCACATCGCAATACGTCCGGCAGCCGTGCGGAGACTATCCCTTTCTCGCTGCGCTGGTGACTTCGGCTCTCGGGGTCCGGCGCGGGGTCCAAGGGCTGCACGACATGCCGCGGTGCACTTGGGCTCCGACGGCACACAGGACAAAGCCGCGAAGAGGGCGGCTAAAACTGACCAGCTACAGCCTCCGCTACCCGCAATGTTCTTGCCCGCGCTTTCTGTAAATGTGTGCATATGTACGTACATGTAGGCATGCATGTATATAATGTATGCATGCGTGTAGGTAGTTAGATAGGCAGGCAGGCAGGCAGGCAGGCAGGCAGGCAGGTATGTGTATGTGTGCATGCGTGTGTCAGCGTACGTCAACACTCACACGTGTGTACGTGTAGCCATGTGTAGGCGTATGTATTGTGTATGCGCCTGTGTGCGTACTGATTGTGTGCATAATATGTGTATACGGATGTGCTCCCACGTGGAAGTGTGTACGTGTGTACCTGTGTTTGTCATCATAGTACTTCTTCAATGAGTATTAAAGAATTTGTTTAACACTACGCCTCAGTTTCCTGCTCACTCCGACCCAGTCAAACTTTTAGGCTAAATGATGAGTTTGTAGATGAATTATCTACTTAAAACGGGACGATAATGCCTATGTTAAAATATACCGAACACATAGAGAAGCAACTCCAGCAAGTATTGAACCACAATCTCGGAGATGGTCGCGAAACTAGAGTAATGCTTGTATATAATGATGTCTGTAAATGTACAGATTGTATGTCCGTGTACATGTTCGGGTGTGTACATGTGTGTGTGTGTGGTTGTGTGGTTGTGTGTGTGATTGTCTGCGTGTTGTGCGTAACATGGCGCATGCGTGCGTGGCTACAGTACGCGCGTGCGTGCGTGCCTGCATGGGCGTGGGGATACTGCTAGTGTGTTTGCGTGTGTGTGTTTGCGTGTGTGTGTGTGTGTGTGTGTGTGTGTGGGTGGCTGGGTCGATGGGGGCAAGGATTTGCTGCACGGTCTGCTGTCGGGGAGTACTTTTGTTTTTGCTACTCTACTTCTGCAATCCTTTGCCGCACGAATACTTGCGCAAGCAAAGCTTGTAAAACGCGTGAAGCGAAAGGAAGCGGAAGCAAGCGCAAGGAAGCGGAAGCAAACAATGAAAAACATGTACGGGACCAGTCCACGGAAGCTTGAATAATGGCCAGTCCGGGCACACACACACACACACACACACACACGCACACATCTTTGCATCTGCCGCTACTCAGCTATTGGCTTTCGTCTGACAACGCGCTGGGCTAGAAACTAGCACACGTGTTTCATGTGCCGCCTGTGTTGCTGCAACGTGCGTAGGCGTGCGCTTCATTCGGCTATTGGTGCCACATGGGCCGGGCACTTGCCTGGAAACACGGGGCCACCCTTCCGCATAGCTCCCGCGAACCTTCCGCGACATCCGGCTGTTTTGATTCTCTTGGCCTGCTTCTTGTCTTGTAACTGCTCTGGCAACTGTTGCACTTGTATGCAGCAACACCTCCCGCGCTTGTCCACACAAACTGAGACAGTTCGTTTGATACGAACCACACAGCTCGCATTCGCGAAGGGATCCCTTTCGCAAGACCTTCCGCATTCCGCACGGGTGTCTCGGTGCAATTCTGCAAGAATCATGACCCTCCCCCTACTACTTTAAGAATGGGAGGCCAAAAAACCGACGCTCCGTTGAAACCAAGGACCAACATAGGAAACGTTGCTTATAGTACTATACGGCTACTGCCGATACCAAGAAGAGCTGATTGTGGCCACAGTGCGACCGCTGCTACTTGCTGACCCCGACCCTGAAACCTGGCCCGGCATGCAATCCTCAAACCCTCGCGAGCACTTTGATGCACCTGGAGATATCTTTGTCTTTGCGTTCAAAGGGAAAGGCTGGCAGACCATGGCTTCAGGCCGACCGACCGCAGGAGAAACCATCAAAACAACCAGCATCCCACCGTCAGCATCCCACCGTCAGCATCCCACCGTCAGCATCCCTGCAACAGGCAAGGAAGGAGCATGCGTTTGCTAGCGCTGTCAAAGGTCTTCATGCAAATCATGCGCAGGGCTGAACAGCCCACAGTCTCCAAATTTCCAGCATTCATATCTTCTGCAACGGGGAGGATGGGGTCAAGCATGGGCCTGGATTCTGATCTTTACGGCCATCAACACTGCATGCCATTGAGAGATTGCCTTGTGCCTTTGCCACTTGACCCAACCCATGCACCGCAACAAAAGAAATAACGCTATGGGTGTGGCCTTAAATAAAACAAACCACCATTGGTCACGTTCTTCTACGTCTCCGTGTTGAGCCCCATCCACACTGATCTTGTCACATTGTTATCATGGCGGAGGGGCGGCGTCGCAGAGATCGGTGTCCCACCGAGCCCAGTTTCTGCGCCCAAGTGCGCTGATGCTCGACTGGGTCGTGCATTGGTCGGTGCCGGGTCCTTGGGTGACATGTTTGACATTGTCAGACTGCAGCACATCCCTAGTTCAGCACGTGTGCCGTTCTCAAGGATGATTTAGAAGGTTGCCATCAGAGTCATAGAAATTGACCCCCTGGTGCGACATCTAGCGCCTCTGCTAGGAGAGGGGCGAAGGAAGGTGAAGAGCAAGGACAAATGCAAAACAATACTTTATCAACGAGACGAGGTCGCAAAACATGACTTGATAAAACTATGCTTGAGGCTCATAAACAGAAGCTACCTCCAGGCACCTGCAAACAGTCCGCAGCCTTGTGCACCACTTTCTTCCTCTAGGGGGTGCAGGGCGGGCTTGACTAACACTTGGCCACATCTTGTCTCTGCCTCTACGTATGTGCGAGACAAGAACTGATGCGCAGTGCTTCTCTCGGTCTTGTTGGGTGCCCAATTGGATCTAGATCTATCTCCTTGTGCAAACAAGCCAAAGAACCTGACTGCAACTCTACAGCAACAATTCCTCCGCCGCTTGCGAACATAACAATCAAGCCAGTTTGGGGCAAAGGTCTGTCTATCTGAAAGGACAAACACATGGCAAAGCGCTTATCTGCAAGCTCCATGTCTGTCTGAAAGGACAAACACATGGCTTTAACTTAACAACACTCTCGCGACTGAGTCAGCTGCTGCGTTGGCGGGATTGCTGTGGGTTGAAGTGAAACTCTCACAGAGGCGTCCATGCTTCCCAAGGCCATGCTTGGCAGACCCAAAGTAGAATGAACTTGAACATGGGTCCGCAGAACTCTAGGGTCTCCCTTTATTTCCAAGAGGGGGTTCAACGGCAGAGACTTGGGAAAGCCCAGCACCTTTCTGCCCAGGGGCCGAACTCTTGCAGCCGGCAGCCGACGGCATCCTTGGCTCCCACAATGCGCCCCTCTCTGGGTTCCCTTTCGGGTGAGCGGTGAGCCTCGGGAGCAGACCTATCATGGTTCGGTAGTGATTAGGGGTTGGGTCAGGGTGGGGTTGGGTGATTTGAGGGTTGGTAGATTGGGTTTGGACAAGTTTTGGGGGTGGTCAAGATTGAGTTGGGAATGGGTGGTTTTCGGGGTGGTTCTGTTTGGGCAGAGGGTGCGTGTGGGGCATAGGACTGATGCGGGATGGGTTCTCGGGTAGGTTGAATTGGCAGGGGACACATTTTGAACCCAAGACACATCTGAAATTCTGCGGACGTCAGCCCGTCAGCGGGCTTGACACTCAATTCCTGACGTCAGCCGCTGAAATTCCTTCCTCGGGAGTTGACAGTTGAGCTTTGGGCCCGGAAGGCGAAAACCCCATTGGGACAGGGACGAACACCATCAGGGGCAGGCGAAGCTGCGAAGCGGCGAAGCTGGTGTGCAGCCATTGAGAAATTACTCATCTCATAAGCTATGCAGCGGGAGATATGCTGGGAGGAACCCAAGGCTGCCACTTTGCTTGCGTGATTCAACCGAGCAGTTGGCCGATTCTCAAAATGGTTGCTTACAACTCACTCAAATGCAGATTGCGCGTTTCTGGGGCCCTGCTTTGTATTGCCTTGCCGCGCTCCTGGCAGCTATTTTCTGGGCCAGCCTTCGACAGAGCAAAAAGTTGATGTTTGTTGGCTGAAAGGCTAAATGAAGTTCTTCCAATCCTGATGATTTTACCCGCTTGGTAAACACACAAAACCGACAACTGAAACTCCGGGGACCAGTTGTGGGTCGGTGACTGGTCTTGGGACCAGTCCCTGCACAAGGACTGGTCCCAGGCTGGTCCAAGTGACCGGCCCTAAAGCTGCCTCAGCTCGATCTTATAGTACCGGTCCCAGGACCGGTCCCAGACTCGAACCAAACCGCCTGTGAATCAAATCCGAGGCCTAACCCGAAGGGGTTGCTTCACATATTGGCGCAGAACTTTCGCGCTGCGCCGTCCCTGCTACGGGGGCGAAACAATTGTGGATTCGTTCAGGCCCCCGGAGTCAAAAAAGAGCGATATTTTCGGGGTGGCAACATCCCCAGCATTGCCTGCATCATTTGCATCCATGGCAAGCATTGTTGCAAGGGATGCTGGGGATGTTGCCCACATGGATGGACAAGGGATGGAAAATGGATGGAATGAATGAAGAACAAGGATGGACAATGCGTGGACTACGTAGTAGAAAATTAGATGGAGTGCATAGAAAAAGGATGGAGCATGGATGGACAATGCATGGAATATGTAGGCAACATGGATGGAAAGTGGATGGAATGCATTGTATGCAACATGGGATGGAAAACGGACGGAAAATGAATGGTTTGAATGGACAGGGTGTGGACAATGGCTGCAAAATGGCTGGAGCATGTACGGAAAATGGATGGAACCTTCACGGAAAATGCACGGAACATGGATGAAAATGGATGGAATGAATGAACATGAGTGGAAAAGAGTGGAAGCGAAGGGAAATGAAGGGAGGTGAGAGAAATCACAGGAACTGAAGGGAAATGAAGGGAATTGAGGGAAAGGCATGCAAATGAAGGGAAATTGAGGGCAAGGACTGCAAATGAAGGGACATGAAGGAACTACAAAGAAATGAAGGGGACAATTCAGGGAAGAAAACGCAGTGCCCGGTGGCCGGCTGCATCGCGTGATGTTGATGCCTTCGGGCTTCGGGCACAAACCCGCCCTCAAACGAAGCTAGGCTACGTCATTAGAATGATGGATCTTCCTTGCCCCAACACCTATCTTCACAAATATCCTCTTGTAACCCCACCCTTTGACTAAAAGATGCTAAAAGATGTAACTTGGAACAGGCTGCTGCCTTTATGAGCAAAGGATAGAGACTGCAAAGAAATTCATTGCCAAGGCTCTAGAATGTCCGGATCCAGTTCCGGCACTCGGAGCCCGATGCAGCTGGCGCACGACTCCCTCAGTGCCTGGCAGCCCAGCTGGCGCGATATGTCCAGCTTCCTGCCCCAGAGGCAGTGATAGCCATGTCCCAAATCATGTTATGCGTTCACGAGTACCACTATACCTAGAAATTCTTTCGGCTGAAACTTCAGCCGGAATTTGTTTATGCATCAAAATTCGGCCGAAGTCGCGGAAATTTGCCGGAAGCAGGCAAAACAGCCGGAATTGGACCGTTGAGGCTCAAGAAGAATAATACTCACAGTCGCCGGCATAGACTCAAGCTTCCTATTTGGAAAGTTTCGCCGGAATATAAAAACCTGTTCTTTTGGGGCATTTGAGGTATAAACATGTGATCCAGTAACGCACAGGTTGCTAGTAGGCTGTTGTCAACTAGTAAGTCAACCTAAAAAAGAACACCTTCACCATCGCCCATGGACAAATGCGTGCTAGCTGAGCCGCATGCTTGGCAATGCAAATATGTAGAACATGCGCCAAGTTTCCCCAAAATGGCTATCACTCAGGCCTGGCCTTCACAATTGGCGTCGGATTCTCGCGCCAGTCAGTGACGACCGCATCTTCGTGGTCGTCGTCAAGGCTAAATGAGTGTAGTATCAAAGTTTGCACCTCCGGCACTTCAGCGGATCACCGAGCGGGAACTGCAACTTTGGACTGTCGCTAAGGTTGCTTCTTGTAATTACGGCTGGTGTATTTCTTGAGCGGCACACTTGCATCCTGGCTCCAACCTGACATGTACATGCCTTTGAATCCCAGTGCTCGATTTGAACCAAGCCGTCCCTGTGCTAAAAGCTGTTCAACCTATTGACAAGCCTGGGCGAGAGGCTAAACGCCAGCTCCGCTCATGCACTGTTTTGACCCTCGAACGTTCACAACCCAACAAGTCAGCCACATAAGAAACGGGTGTGCAACACAAGCTAGGCCTGTGTCCCTCTTGACTCACTAAATCAAGGTCTCCTAAATTATCACACACCTCCTTCCTCTGATATGCTCAATTGACTGACCGGAAAAAAGTTAAAACTCCGCAGCCCTTTCCCAAGATGAGGCCGGAGGCGAGCCCGAAAAAGTGCACCGCATGTACGTCTACTCCACCAAGGGCTGAGCCAGGCATCTGAAACATGTTTCAGCCCCTTGCAACATCTCAAACGGGCCAGACATGATGCCTTTGCTTCAAGCGAGTTAACCTATTGATCCGAGGTTTTTCGATAGTCCCGCGCCTTCAAGCTGCAAACCGCTGGCAGCATCTCTTCACAGCTCTTCCCCACAGCGACTTGGAGGACTTTCAGGTCCTCCAAGCTGGACTCTGACAGAGTTTACCTTTTGAGCACGTTTCCCTTTCCGAGAAAATGGACGTGTGGCTGTTTCATCAACTTTACCTACATGTCGACCAAAAGCACTCACAAGCAGCTTTTAGCTACTCACACAAGGACTTGCAAGCAAACCCAGCAGCTCTTTCTTGGCAGCTGGGTGTTTCAGAGGGAGCCCCCAACAGTTGAGCAGAGTTCCAAGCCCAGTTGCGGCCGAAGAGAAATATCAAATCCCTTCAGCGAAGGCTTCCGCAGAGCTTGCGCGGCATGAAAGGTTCCTTCCGCAAGAGATTCGAAGAGGGAATCGCTTCCGCGTCGCTTCCGCGGATTGAGGAATGGGATTGAAGTTTGTTTTCGCTTCCGCACGTGAAGGAAAACTACAATTTCTTGTTGTTGTCATGGAATCGCAGCCCTTCCGCGAAGCTTCCGCGAGTACATAAATGAGAACCTTCCGCGAACCTTGCGTGGCGCTTCCGCGACCTGGGAAAAGTCAACATGTTGAAAACAATATTTCCTCCCGAATACTACTTTCAAGTGCAGAGGTTTTAGAACGTCGCTCATTGCTTCTTAACTGTTCAACACCTCCAACATGTAGTTCTCTTTCGATTTCATCTGACACCCAGTAAGAAACTCTCTTGTTTTGTGTTGATGTAGGGAATCCAAAGGAAAAGGAAAGGGGCGTCATGGCTCCGGACTCAGAGCGTGTCCTGAAGTCGCGCCAAGGCCTGGGCGGAACTCAGCTCAGAGACACCGTAGAGGCTGAGCCGCGTGAGGCTCCTCAGGGCTCGTTTGGTGGAGCTGGCGGTATTCTCACGTCTGATGACATCAGAGAGGCAAGGACGACTAGCTCCTTGTACTTCCATGGCGTTTCATGGAACTATTCACAGATTGCCCTCACATACCTGCCATTCCATGAGTTTGGACCCCCCACAAATCCAGTTGACTCATGAACCAATGCTGGAGGTGCATTTGGAAGATGGTGCTTGAGGGCTCCCAAGAACAGCTCCGCAGGGATGCACGGATACGCACTTCTGAAGGCAATACAGCGGCTTCTCAATGCCAAAGCTCGCCGATGTCCCGAAACTGATCCAATCGAAATGAAAAGTCGAGGGGAAACCACAGATTTGTTACGAGCCCGATCCGGTCCTCTTCGGCGCTCGTCCAAACAACCCCCGCCCCCCCCAACAATTGTCAATGACTGCTATTTGTCGGATTGGTTTTGGGTTTTGGCAAAAACAAACAACTTATCGTTGGGTTGGGGGAAGCAACAATGGGGAATGGACGTATTGAAAGCCATTTCCTGTTTCCACCGCACCCACCGACCATGCTACAGTGATTGGATATGCTACAGGTTTTGTTTCCTGATGCGACCTGTTGGGTATTTCCCTGAGCCGCGCTCTGGGGGGAGCCCCCGCCCCCCAAGAGCCTTTTGGGTGTCGCTCCGCACTCTTGGGATATGTCTATTCCCTGCCACCCGCTCACACATTTTGACGTGCGTGCTTATTCTCCCTTCTTTTGTTCTTTGTCAGAGAGCTAGCTTTCAATTAGTGTCCGTGCCACGGCAGTTCCTTCTAAACTTCCTTTCAGCAAGCCCTAAAACCACTCCACAGGGCGGGCAGGCCGTTCCCCAAAACGCATCCCAAATCAATCTTGCAGATTTCCCAAGCCAACCCTAAGCCGACCGTAACCAACCTTAAGCCGACCGTAAACCAACCCTAAGCCGACCGCAAACCAACCTTAAGCCGACCGTAAACCAACCCTAAGCCGACCGCAAACCAACCCCAAACAATCCCGAAACCAACCCTAAACCTCCAACCAGCCCACCCACCATGCCACAGGGGGGGGAGGGGGCATTGGGGGGGGAGGTTGGGGGGCTGGACCATATGTATATATATATATATAATGTGTGTGTGTGTGTTGGGGCGACGCGCCCAAAAGAGTTCATCAATTCCTGCGAGGCACGGGCAGGCGGCCAACACGGGATCCAGCTGGCTGCTGGTCACATCCACCTGCCAAGCCTCGGCTCCCCTTTCGACGATTTCATGGCTTGGTGCACAGATATCTGTAAGACCCACTTTCCTCCTCTAGGTCCTCCAGATTTGAGAGGTTCGAATAAGGGTGCCCTTTTTGCGGTAGTCTATTTAGTCCGGGAACCCTCCCCCCAAAAAAGGCACTACTGGGGGACCTAGACTTGGAAAGGGCCACAAGTATGCACTTCCATGTCAGTTGGTGAGGAACAGTCAAGCACGGACAATCAGGGGGCTCTTGTCTCAACAACACTGATTGCTTGGTGTGTGCCCGAAAAGTATAGTCATGTATCTGCTCTTTCCCCCATGACGTGTTCTGGTTTTCCTTCCCCGTGCGACCTTTAGGACTGCACGGTAGCTCTGCTCGGCCTAGGGCTCCTTGACTCGTACACCACATCATGGTTTAGCTTGTTTTAGGGGTACCTCAATCATGGAACCTGTGTTGTGACTTGTTCTGGTCAGTCTCGAAAGGACAATTGTACCAGGGATCATCGTATCTTTCTCAGCTACACATCGCAAGGTGCAAAGTGCCCATAGAAATTCAATGTCACGGGGTGAACATCAACCGCATCATATCCGTTGTCAAATGAAGCAGGCAGGCTTGATCCAAATTACAAACAATGATGCGTTCAAGCTCATGGCCAAGGAAAAGCCACAACAAAAGGTGTTGGTGCCCGAACCACTCTGGTTTGAAACCACACCTTTCAGCAAGGACAACCTAACAGAAATCCGACATATCAGGCTGGGGGTGTTGAAGCCACGCGATCTTCGACAAAAAAACAAGGATCTCCGTTCCAGGGTCCGGTTTTAAGGCCACCCAGGCAGTTGCTGGATGTGCCGCAGGTCCAAGTGTTCAAACCTCCGGGTTCAGCCGACTATGGGTCAAAAGGAAGGCCCATGGCTTCGGCCTCTGTTGGGAGCCAGGCAAGCCGGGTCAGTGAAGAAATCAAAATGACTCAGGAGAGCACTTTCTTAAAATTGACCAAAGCTTAAAATTCATCATTGCAACTTGTCGGTCGAATTAGACTGATTGCAACTTTCGAGGCTTCCCCGATTTGAAAGCTGGCATCATGTCAGTGAATCAGCGCGTGCTTTGACCAGTCCGCACGAAGCAGGTTCACGTGCATGCCCGCCTTGACAGAACGACAGCATGCACATGCACACACACAAAGAGAAAGATGCCAAAGTACGCATGCACAAAGCAGACACACACACACACACACACACATCCCCAGGCTTCCGTGTCGCATGCCCAATAATAGAGAGACACTGTGCCTGCTTCAATTGCAGCCGATCCTTCAGACAGGATAGTCAGAAACATGTTTTGGCCTTGGACGCCAGGGATTCTGAAAAGTTCACCTTGCCCTGCAGGTTGCATCGCGCATACCAAATTCATGGTTTTGAGTTGCCCTAGCTTCAGGTTGATAGGTTGATGATAGGAATTTCATTGGCTCGAAGTCATCCGAGCAAACAACTTGTCACAGTCGTAATGAACTCTTGAACATGAAACCCTTTTGACTCCCTCAAAATGAGGGCCTCCTTGCTCTTAAAGCTGAGGCTGTTGCCTCGGTTCAGCCTGAGAAGCTACCATTGTTTGAGCAACATCCCTGTAGTCATTCCTTTCGGTGCGGATGGTTTGAGCCCTACAGAAACGACTGAACCATGCTGTGAGGAGCATAAAGCTCTTGCAGTTGGTGGCAGCACGCCAAAGCCGCCCAAACCTGCCAAGAGTAAGGCCGGACTCAGGGTTTGCCCAGTTTTGGCATGGTATGAAAGGAAAGAGCAAACATGAAAATCAACCAAGACAGCTCCCCGAATGTTTGGGAATCCTATGTGTTTGAGCCCGCTTTACCTTGTGTTTTCTGACTCCAAAAATATAAGCGCGGGTCACAACATGGGCTAGCTGCTACTTGAGCAAGTGAAGTCGACAGATTTCTTATTTTGTGGATGGAGTGGGGTTCTCTTTCGTTTTAACTAAGCATATCAGGAAACTCCTGCTGAGGGACTCCAAACGGAACTGGATTTGCTGCCCACGATTAGATCCTAGGCCCCTCAGGGTTCGCACAAATCCCATTGGCAAAGTCCCCAGAAATCAATTTTCACGACGTGTTCTCCTAGCCTCTGACTGTTTCAACTTAAGCCGCGGTCAGCTCTCCTTCACATGCAGGGTTCATTACAAAATCAATAGGGTGCGAACCTGATTCCGCAGTCGACTGCCCGTGCTCTGATCAAGTCATTCCGTAGGCTGGCGTTTCTCCTTTGCATAGCAATGGACATAGAAGTCTGATTCCAATTTGCGCAAAGCAGGAGGGGATACACTGATATAACTATCGTCATTTTCTAGAGACCTACTGAAGCATGTTCAATCATAGGACTAGGCCATTGTTCAAAGCATGCTGCATGCAAGTTTTTCTAAGGGAAAGTAGCAGTTGTGTGGGCGGGTTGAGATACCGGAAAAGCCCACCGATATCTACCTTTTGGACATCTCCTCCGCATCCTCTGCTGAATACTGTCACGTTGCCTCTTTCTGAGGCCCTCACCTTCTGTTAGGAAAAAGTCCTGAAGAAGCCATCAGAATAAGCAAAAGAAAATGCAAGCTAACATAAGCTAACCCCAACCAAAAGTTGTGTCCTGATGTCCACCGCCAATTAGGAGGGTGCCCCGGCGTTTTGGGATCCGTTTGGTAGGCCGTCTCGGACCCAGGGGCGAAACCTCTCCCTCGCTGACATATTCTAGGAACCAGCCGGGAAATGGCGCGAAATCCACTGGAGAAGCAACTAGAACCTAAATACCCGCCCCATTTCAAGCAAGGCGCTTGATCTCTCCAAGCAAGGTTCCAGCTTTTGACTACCAAATAGGCTTAAAATCAGGGGTTCTCCTTTTGGGGGGAATGAACCACCCCTGCGTTTAAGTCTACCCTGGCAGAGTCAAAAAGTGGAACCCTGTCTCCCAAAACGCCTCTTATTCTTCCTCTCTGCCATTTGCCGGTAGGCCAAAGTCGTCCTAGCTCGGGCATTGACCCCGCTGTCCGCCGAGCCTCGTCTGTGGCCTGATTGAAGTGGCTCCAGCTGATGTCCACCTACTGCGCAAAGCAGGTGTTCACAACACTCGCATAGGAGAAAAGCCATCGATGGTGCCCAAAAATGGCATGCACGGTGTCTGTTAAAATCAAGGATCCCCCAGAATAGAAAGAATGATCTTCCTTTTGGTTCCACATGCAAACACCATATGCCCAATTTGCGCCCACACTTGAAGCACACATACTAGCACCCAAGAGCACATGGGCCAATTTTAGCTTGGTCAACCGGTCGCCAAGCTAGGCACAGCGATCAGGTTCGGGCAGTTCCGCAGCGCATTGGCCAGATTGTTTCCATTGCCGTCAAGGTCCTGAGCAGCTCACTGTGCTTGAAAGAATCTACTTGTAAGATGTATCTCCAACATATTTATGCAAGGTTCAAGGTCCTGAGCAACCCACTATGTTTGAAAGAGTCTACTTGTAAGATGTATCCCCAACATATTTATGCAAAGCATTGGCAGATGTCTGCAAGTTGTTTTGGCGTGTCATTTTTAGGGGACCCTACAGTGTCCCTTCAAAACCGCCAATTTGTGCAAGCGCCACGACGTTTTATTCCGGAATCTCTGATTCTTGCATGGGTGTGATGGCTTCTTGTAAAACTGTATGATCTCTGCAACTCAACGAAGGGCAGCTAAAATGATGCGTCTCAAATCGGGGCCTCAAAGGCCTTCCGAGGTCATGTCAACCCCCTACCAAGGATCTGCAAAACAACTCCTGGCGTGACAAAGTTGTCCTCAACCATACTTTGCCAATATCAGATAATATCCTCAAGGACAAGGGGACGTGTTCAAAGGAGCCTCCAAAACGGTGCATCCAAAAGAGGTATGTACATGCCACAGAGCTTCTAAGTTGATTCACCGAGCAGCAGCTACTCCTAGCTCCTGAAGATCAGATGTCACAATCGCCGGCAGCAATGTCAAGTCCTTGGCATAATGAACATGTGTCTCATCCTGATGGCGACTGTTGACGTTTGCAGCACTGCATGGCGTTTGGGGCTAATCGGACAGCACTGCATAGTCTGCTTTGAGAGCAGTGTCTGGCGGCCGACAGGATGTGTTTTTTGTACAGCGTCGGCACAGCAACCCGAAGCGGTAGGATTTTGCTGTAGCCTTGCAATGGTGTTCAAGAAGCTCCTCGCGGTGAAAGGTCTTGATACTCCGGCGAGGCAGATTCGAAAAGCCGTGATTGGTTAGAGTTCGCGCGTGTTGTTTGCCAATTGCAATAGAATTCTACCTTTAAAGGACTGTTGATATTGAGCAAGCCAGACAAACACATGGCGAACCTGCAACTCACAAACCGTTGCCTAATTTCCTGATTGTGTATATGGCTGGTATGGTTCCATGTTCAAAGCGGAACCTCACCAACTGCAAACAGTCGCCCCAAACTGTTTCTCATATGACGGAACTTGCAGAACTTGCACAGCCTGTGACATGGCTGAGTCAAAAGTAGGTACCCAAAAACGGAGCCCTGGGAAATGGAACCAAGGACTAAAACCTGCGCTGCAGTGGTTTAATTTGACCCACAGCCACATGACTTCCGGTGGTTCCCTGGACCCATTGCGGCGAACTGCACGCCGCAAGACCCATTTCTTTCAGCCCAAAAAAAGCTGAGGAGGAGTCCGTGACCTTGAATTTTGTTGGCAAAGGAATTCTGTCCCCAAACCAAAACCCAGGGTGAATGGGAAGAGCTCAGCAGTCCTATGCAAAATATCAAAGTCTACCCAAAACCAGAGGATCTGCAAGTGCGGCGGCTCTTTCGGATTTAAAACACCCCAAATGTTGTTGTTAGCTGTCCTTAATTTTGGTCCAAGAACAGGGCAAAACACTCTTCTGCAGGTTGACATGATAAATTATGATGTTTGACACCCACTACACTCACCTGAAGCAAAGATGTGCAGCAGTCCGGCAAGGGCATTTTGGACTGTGTCAGTTGATTCAAGAACTGAAAAAGAAAGGTGTCACATGCAAGCGTCTGGGTGACGAAACACCTGACACTTCCGTCGAGTCTTGAGTGAGCCATCCGAGACTTTCCCGAATCTGCAGCCAAGCAACGCCACATTCGCTGTGTCCAATGTCCAGCGCTCGCAACTTCAAACTCTTGGTGGCAAGGACTTCCAGCACCGTCTGCGAAGCAAACACACCAAGGATTTGTGCGCTGCTTGATCGGAACCTACCACTAAAATGCAACATCTCTCCACATACACACACGCGCACACACATATACACAATTACACAGACAAACAACTCAAATTCGACCTCACCCTGAAGCACATGCAGACGTACACATGTATACTGGGTAATTCAAGCTTAAGTGCATCCGAAATACATTGCTGTTCGAAACCTCTTCAACTCCAATCTATCCAAAGCTTCAAATGCAAGAGGCGAATCCGTGAAGCGCCTTGTTGATAAAGTTCCTGCCAATCAGCAACTTTTCCAAGCCCTCTGGGAGGCTTTCCTGCAGCACGGATACATGTACATGAATTTGTTGGCGGCAAGTAAAACATGCTCGCGCAACAAGCAGCTGCAGAAGTAAGCTTGGGCAGCTTTGCCAACCCACTCTCAATGGGGATTAGTTGCTGCCCCGAACATTTGATTTCCCTGTGAGTGTTCCTGTCCTAGCTTCCGCATGTCTCTTCATTAGCTCTTGTTCACCCGCAGCCTTCCCTAGCGAGCATGGAATGATTCCGGCATCTCAGCTTGAGGTTTTGAAGTGACTGGTCTCAAACGTCCATTTACTTCAGCCCTCTAAAAAATACGATATGTCCAGTAGTGATATCTAGATTGCCGTTAGAACTAACAGGGGAAATTAATAATAATAATAATATTATAATAATAATAATAATAATAATAATAATAATAATAATAGTAGTAACATTCAATAATAATGGAAGCAAATGCGAGTTTTACCGGGGCGTGAGGTTTTGGAAGCGAATGCACACACTGCTGCGCTAGCAGCGTTTTCTCTCAATGACTTGGGTCGTTGTAACCACTACAGCAACAAGTAATCCAGGCAAATCAGTGCACAGAATCTGCCCATCTCTTGCCAAATCTTCAGGTTCAGATTCTTGCCCATCTGAAATGAGCGGACCTCACCATGGCAAACATCACCAACGAGTGAACAATTCCTAGACACGCGCTCTGTGATCTGTGTCCGGCCCAGAATTCCATCTCTTTACCAAGGGTTCAGACCAGTCTGCAGTCCTTTCTCATACGGGGCTTCCAAAATTCAGCGCCCCCTCAAAGCTGGGACGCCAAAGAGAGCACTGGAACTCCTGCACCCGAAAGATACATGATTCATCTTGATGTCCTTTCCACGGAAGATCTGAATCGCTTCAACAGGAGCCGCTTGGATGCAAGTCGCTCCACTTTCTCAAATCCAATGCAAAAACCCAGAGGCTCGTGGGGTTTTCAATGGAAGACCCGACCCTTGCACTAGACACCCCGCTTCTGTGTTTGGGGGTCTCAAAACCCGGCTGTTTGAGGGCCCCAAATTCATGGAATTGGAGCGTCTGGGAAGAAAAAAGCACGGCGCTTTCGGCCAAGGCTCGCAAATGGGCCGCAGGCTCACGGGCCAGAGCCCACACTGGCGCAGGTCGAGGACCCGCAGGCTGGCGAGGCTTTCACGCAAAGCAAATGGCCATGGGTCAAAACCCCAATCGTTAGCCCCAGTGAACATCCAATCCAACCACTAAAATAAGTTCTATAATGGGTGGTGAATTCACCTATCCCAATATGGGATCCCATTGGTTTTGACCCACAGCCACATATTAAATATGGACCCCCCCAAGGGCTATGGGGAGGGAAGCGCTTTTTCTTTTTCACGCCTTAAGGCCTCAAAGGCTTTCCCTTGGCTTCTCCCCCTGTCCCCCTAGCCTTTTTATCAGGGATCCATGATAAACCCAACCATTGCCAAGACGTTGCACGCTTTGACACATACTCAAAGTGCGCAGTCGCTAAGGCCAAGGGGGAAGGTTGCCTCCTGCTTGCGAGGCATTCTTAAGGCACTGTAAGCCAAGGAGCCCGAGACCCTGAGCCCAGGGTTCGCCGCTCCCCTTTACCCAGCGGAAACCCTTGGAAATCCCACAAGAAAACTCAGCAGATCACTGTGATGACTGAAAGGCCTCTGCAGGGTCACCCTCCTCAAGCAGGTGGAATCCAAGGTTCAGATCCGCTTGGGAGTGTTTGCGATGAAGCCAGACAAAGGCCCCATGAAGCTTAGATCCAACCGGGTGAACATGAGATTTACGTGAGCGGTGCCAATCAACTCGTGAAAAAATGGTACGTACCGTGAGTTTGCTTTCGCCGCTCACGATGATTGCGTGACAGCATACTTTGCTTTTGGCTTCGCTCCTGTACAACTTCTTGCCAGGCGCTAGCGCAGCGGACCCTGCAAAACTGACCCGTCGAAATGTACACTTTCGCGGGGCCTTTGCGGTGGGACCATTTCGCGACACGCAAGCATTGGCGGCCAGCGTTGTCTATATAAACCTCCCCCTTACTACGTTTCATTCCCAAGGCCTCTTTACATGGGGTGACCCCTAGAAAAGCCACCACAAAGGATGACTTTCAAAGTGGGAAAAGTTGTTTGTCATTTTGGGGCCAACATTGATCAAAGCCCCATGTCTAAACCTGGTCTGCCGTACCTGACCCGCCCAGGACCTGTTTCTTGGAAGCTATGAGCTCAGCTTTCAAGCTATCCACATCATGATTCAGTCTGAAGACCCGCATGGCAGCTACCGAATGATGGACATGCAATGTTTGATACTTCCGGGTAAATGGGAGTGGGTGAAAAATCAGTACCCAACATGGCTTGCCCTGCTAGATGGGACAAAATGGCCCAACTCCGCAGTGCCCTGGTGGTTTAATTTTGACCCAGACCCAGACACTACACGCCAGGCCCCGACCCTGGCGCTGAAGCGCCGCCTCGCCAGCACGGGCACGAGGCTTCGCGCCCAGAGCTGGAGTTCAGCTTGCGCCATGAAGTGACCCACAGCTTGCAACGATCCCCGGCTGGCGCCTGCGAAGCAGTCACACATGGCTTGCCACGTGGCCATGGGTCAAAACCCCAAATCGGTTAGCTTTCCGTGAGCGGGACCCAATCCAAGCACCCAAATAGGTTTTAAAATGGGTGGTGAATTCACCTATCCCAAAATGGGATCCCATTAGTTTTGACCCACAGCACGGAATCAGACTAGCTGCTTCCAGGGTGCGTGAGCATAGTTGTTGCCTGAACAACCACATTTCATCCAAGGTAGCTGTAAAGGCTAGTGATACTTGGTGAACGGCAAACAAAGCATGGGACTTCCGAATCCGGGGGCCTGCAAACATGGTTGGCTGTCTTTTGGACTCCCTGCAAGCTCCATCCAAACAAGGGGGGCTACTTTGGGACACCCCCAAATTGATGACACGTGAAATGCTTGTGGCAACTATTCCGATCTAAGGTTGCTCTTTGCCTTGCCGAAATGTGTCATCCTCTTCCTTAGAAATGCCGCCCACTTTCCAGAATTGTGCATGCATGTCCTTCTTGTGGCCGTGCCCGTGTTGCTATCTTTTGTCAGCGAGAATCTGCATAACAACTTCTAAATTGGATCTCGCGCGTCGAGACACGACGTTGTGTGTTTGTTTGTTGTTTGTTTGTTTGTTTGCTTGCTTGCTTGCTTGCTGGTTGGTTGGTTGGTTGGTTGGTTGGTTGGTTGGTTGGTTGGTTGGTTGGTTGGTTGATGAGCGACTTGCTGGGCACTGCAGCCACGGGCGACCCTTTCCCTCCCGCCAGTTACGGTTGGGCCCGGACTGGCCACGCCGGACTTACCAGGGCCACAAACGACAACGAGCACTCCCTACAAGAGTGGCGCACGGACAACACGGCCGTGGGTCCACACGAACACAGCACCGAGCCAAACCGCTATGCTTGTCATTTGGCTGGATCGACGGCAACCATTCCAGATGAGGTCCAAATATAGTTGATTGTGATTCCAGTGGTCAGACTGAACAAAATCCAGCACTTGGGCACGCATTGACTCTCCCTGCTGGAATGTGGCTGTTTAACTGCTTCCTGCCAGTCTTGGTCCTTGCCACGTGGAGACTGGAGAAACAAAGTTCCAAACATGGGACGATCGACAATTGAAAGTGCACCGTCTTTTCCAAACCCACTGGACTTCGTCCAGGAATGACGTCATACGCGGCTCCCTCTAGATAAAGTGGAAGAGCGAACTCCTAGAGTCGTTTGAAGTGGTCGTTCATGTTGATTGGGCAAGTGATTCTTTAATTTATAAACCATGGCATTTTCCGCGAACCCCTCCCCTTTCTTGTCGCGGCTTTCAAGACTTTGAAAAGGTGGTCGCCCAACTTCATCACGGGGCTGCTACCCTTGCCTTACTTCGAGGCGATATCCAAATCTTCAACTAGCAGTGCCAGCAGCGACTGAACACGGGGCGAGATTTAGAAGAGTCTAAACAAACTGTCCATGCACGTGGTACAGTGCGGTTGCAGCACATCGGTGCGTCTCTGCGTGTGATATAGGTTTGGGCTGGAAAGTGACGCAATTGACAGCAGTTTGACAACATCGGCTGGTCCGCCAGGTCTGGTGCGCGCAGGCTAGGTTTCGCATCGGTGTAGGCCTGGATTGGGTTGGGGTGCAGGATAGGTTCAAGGTTGATACAAGATATAAGGCGGGTTTAAGGTGGCTTTAAGCTGAGTTTGAGGTGGGTGTTGGGTGTTTTAGGCTTGAATGAGGGTGGCCTTGATTGAATCTGCTGGCCCAAAATGCCGTTCTGCAACTGGACGGTTGCCACCAATCCGAACCATTGCACTCGGTTGCAAACATGATCCGATCTCCCACCCACGCCTTCTTGCATTTCCTCAAGGCTCACCTTGCGTCGATCGAAGGCCTGGCAAAGAACGTGAACAGCTCATGAAACTTGCACAACCCCAATTTTAATGCGAACACGGCAATAGTGGCATAAGATATTGTGGAAAGGGCGTCCCATGAGAAGCAACGCAAAGGTGGATTCAAGCTTGTGTTTGCACCGAATTGAGCCCCTTTCCTCTTGGCTTGATGATTCTGCTGCCGTCGCTGCTGCTGCTGTGCTCCACTAGTATTCGGTATGCTGGATGGTTCCAGTGTTCAGCGGGTTCTATCGACCATAGCAAAGGAATCGCAGCGTATCGCAAGCGTAGCATCGCTGCCTCACGCTCACGCCACTAAATGCGAGACACAGGTGGGATTTGCGCTCAAGCTATTGGATGGGCGGACATGTAATGTGCTATCTTCTATGGAGAAATGACAGTCAAATTGCAGGCAAGATGGCACAAAGTCGTCTTGTTGTTTCCATCGCCTTCTTGCGCTGGCCAAACCGCAGGCTACCAAGGGACCCCCCAATCGCCGGCCGATCACGATCCACAGGGTCCCGTTCAACAAGTTGCCGATGCTAATAAGTTTTAGACATGCAATTACGGATGGCCCCCAACAAAGGACCGCGATGACCACTAATATGGTCAGTTCCAGCAAACACAAGGCGCTTATGATGTGGATCCTGCATGGCACGCTTGGCCCCAAAAGCATGCCACCGGATATGCTGACATATGTTGCCTAAGGTTCCAATTTCGGGCAACCAAACCATGAGGAAAAGGGCATCTTTTTTGCCGGCTGATGTCAAAGAAATACCCTCGGAACACGGGATGTACACAATCTTGAAATATGTCGACCCACAAAAAGCCGCGAAGAACAGCAACCCAATGGAACATGTTGTACTTGTCATTCGTTTGTCTGCTTCCTTTCTGGCTGTGTCAATTGTTGGCTTTTGAATGGCGAGCCCCAGCAAGTGCAACACCTGTGCGCATGTGGATATCTCAAGGCAGAAGGGCGCCGCGCCTCTCCTCGTTTGCCTTTGCCCTGCATATCTCCCAGCCATGGTAGCCAAAGCAGCTCCAGAGTTGACCTTCGTGTGCAGTGCAAGCGTGGACCACACATATAGCTAATGGACAAAACAAGGGACACCCTGCTTTTGCTGGTGGATGATACAGGGAGACACACTAAACAATAGACATCAAAAGGTGCCACTGGACCAAGTGACTCCTCCTGTGTCAGGATCTCCGACAGCCTCTCAGGGAATCCAGCAAGACCACACACAGTATGATTCCCTCAGACTAACGCAAATGGAACCAAGTCTTCCAAAGGGGTCCGTTCGGGAGCTTCCCTGAGTCTGGCGGAGGGATCGGGAATGTACGTGGTGCTTGGCCGGACCAATGCAGGGGCCACGCAACTTGTCAGTACCATCAGAACGGTCAAGTAAGGCAACAAATTCCAGCAGTGCCCGGACGAGGTGGGGGAGGGAAGCTTCAACGGGGGAAAGGTGCCTGTAGGAAAGCAAGGCAAGCGTGAGAAAGACTCTCTCTTTCGCTGGCAACATCTTTGCTTGGATATCTCTTTACTTTGTCATTTTCTTGGCTTGTCTGGACCGAGGCTGGCAATTTTCTCATCTAAGCGTCCTTTTGAATATCAAGAAAACCCAACACAAAGCACGTTTCAAGCAGTGAGGTCTTCCTTCCATTGGCTTCCGGCGCCAGTCACAACCATTTCCCGGTGAGAAAACCACCTCCAAGCCACCTGCCTAGCACCTGGCGCCATTATGCGCCCCTGAAAAGTCAGTCGAGCTGCCACATCCTGCGGATCGAATTCTTTGGGCGGGCCCGCGCTTCGATTGCAATCCCTGGACTCGACGTCTCTTTGTCCAGCTGGAGGACTGGGTAGGCATGGCTTCCGATCAGCCAACCAATTCTTCTGAAAAAGCTTGGCATGTTGTGACGGCGTTGGTCTTGAGCACAACTCGCCTAATATTTTACAACCGTGTGAAGTCATAGTCATGGCAGTGGCGACGATCTCCAACCAGCTTGCGCTCTCTTGCGCTCACAAAAATGCGATTTTGCAGGTGGCCTTCTTCGCTTGACAGTCTCTTTGACCGGGAAAAACTAGAAATAAGACCATTTCCTTAATCATCTAGCCACCGCAAACGAGCAGCTGCCAGAAGGCGATGTCCAACATCTGACGCGGTGTCCTATGACCCCTCCTTCCAACATGATGCTGACTCACTGGAATGCTTAGTCCCCAACAGGCTTTTTTGAGAAGCTTACGAAAACGTCCCAGTACCCACCCAAAACAACACACAGAGCATTCCCTCAAACAAACCTGAAACCAGGCATCCTCCCATGCCCCAGGATCAATAATCGTAGGGGAGGTGTCACATTTTGGAGGGGAACTTCTGCACTTTCCAGGGAACACCCCGTGGTCCAGGGGCAACATGCCACAAGATGCCAGATGGTAGTGTTGGTAATTGGTCGTGCTCTGGGCTTCCTGCCCTGCCACAAGAAATATTATTGACACATGTGTTCGACGTGTAGAGGCAACTCCGCTGGACTGCGGTGAATGGCACGTCTAGGCATTTGACAGATTGCCCATCCCCTTGCGCTTTCTTTCGGGATGCAGAACAAGACCCGTGTCCTATTGAGTATTCAGTTTACCACAATACAACCAAGCATAATACAGAAACGCACCGTTTCGGACACTGGAGGAGCGTCAAGACAACGGTCCCTTTTGCGGATGTTTTTCCAAATGGTAGCCAAAAGGAAGCCAGAGGTCGCCAGGATGTTTTAATTGGAGCAACCTTCTCCAGTCCTCCTTGGCACAGTGAAGCTTCAACTGCTGCGCCACTGAGTACACAAAGTCTGAGCCCTGGAAAGAGATGGGGCCCAGCGTCTGGCGGCAAAACGGGTCTTGCCTGACTGTCTCCAATCCCAAACGGGGGAAACTCTGATCTGAGGGTCTTTGTATTACATCCTGGGAAAACCGACCCAGGATGCTTCCAAATAACACGGTTTTATCCGGAAATGTGCCTAAGTGGGGTCAATACCCAGTGGGTGTATTCCCAGGGTGTAATACAAAAACCCGTAGATCTGAACTCGGACTGGTGGGCACCCCCTAACAGGGACGATAAGAATGAACACGATAAATGGTTTGCAAATCAAATGCTCGGTGGCACATGAACATGAGCCTCGCTACCAGCTTAGAGAAATGCCCAGACCTGAAAGGCAATGCCCAGGATAACCAAGCACGAGTGACTGCCACACCATGATCACAATGCTTGCTCACACAACCTGTAGCCAACATGGTGTCGGACGGAAGTGTCACGAGATCTTGAGTGGCAGTTGAAATGTGAATTTACATACCTGGCTCAAATCTGCGCATCGACCCCTGCATCAAGATTGTGTCGGAAAACATCGCGCTGTCCAATTTACGCATGCAAAAACCCATCCAACACCCCTGGACCTGCGGGAAGGTGAAAAGGTCCGGGGGTTAAAAGCTTTCCCCGAATTTTGAGCTGGGCTCTTTGGCACACACAAATGCACAAATGATGCGGTCAATCCTGTAGATAAGCAACAAGCTTTTGGCATCCCTCGGCAATTGCGCGCGCTCTCTTGTTTGGTGTGTGTGTGTGACTGTACGTATTGCGCGACTAGATTTCTGGTCTGCGCGCCTCGCCATCCATGGTGCGAAAGTGAAGCTTCATTGCCATTGCGTCCACTCGCCGTCGCGGCCGTCGCGTGCACAAGCTTGGCAAAGGCTGCGGGAGTCGGTCGCGCAAGGCCGAGGCGTGCGCTCTTGCGCATGCGTGTGGCGCACACAAAGGATTGCCAAAGCTGCTGTCGAACCGGCAAACGATTTCTTTGTTTTGAGGTCAGAAAGGGGCATGGAAGAGTGACGGAAGACTGGCTTCGTGGCAGGGATTGGTCAGCGACGCAGATTTCATCTCTGCTTAGCAACTTTTCAGAATGGGAGGCCCACCAAGAACCCTATTAGACCCGATTTGGCACTCTTAAGACTCTCTTAGAAGTGTGGGGTCACTTCGGGGGTCACTTTGGGGAGGCCTTAAAAGTATCACTCCAAATACAGAATTAGAAAGATCCCCCACGGGATGCGGGGGGTTGATAGCCTCCAAAAGGCCCACTGAAACCAAAAAAGGTCATGTGGTTGAGAACCCATTGGGGGTCCCTGTGGAAGTCTGTAAGCTTCAAACTGATACCACCCAAGTTGGTATCTTAGCAATCACGTTGAATTTGTGCAGCCACAAGCAAGACCCGAACAAAGGCTAAACATCGAACAACCAAACACCTGCCAAGAACAGTGAAAACAACGTCAAATGGGTGTTTCTAAAATAATTGGGCCGCTCTTTGGATGGCTCCACCAAGAGCAAAGGAACTCAAACAACAGGAGTCCCCAAGCTTGACAGCTCTGGGCTTCCCAGCTGCACTGCGGCTACCAAACAGCTCAGCGTCAATACCGTCGACCGGAAGCGCTGCAGGCCGAACTGTTCCTGGGACGTTCGCAACCATTGACACGGGCTCCTAACGACGGTTGGTGATGAATCGCCTTTTGTTGGGGTCAAAGTTGAAAGGGAGGCCCGAAAGAAACATGCGTCACGGTTGCAGGTCCCTCCCATCTTAGGAAACACCCATAGGATCACAGGACAGCATCACTTTTTAGGGGTTCAACAGCGGGTCCTGCCCGTGAACTGCGGGACAGATCAATGGTGTAGACCCTCCTTCTTGTTCTCACAAATGCATCTCAGGCAACGAGTAGCAATGAGTGTTTCCTGAAACAGAACCTCTCCCCCAAAGTATGGAAACACCCCTTTTTGTTTGAGTGTGTTTGTCAAAAGCGGGTGCGTGTTTGATGGTTCCTAGTTGTTACAAATTATTTTCTGGTGTGGGCTGCATCAAAGTCTTTTCAAGCGGATTTCATCAATGTGGTGCTTGCAATCCTGATGAATTCTCACGGGCAAACTCTTCAACCAGTACAGCAGTGACAACACGTCCAAACTTAACTAGACCTTTGGGACCGTGATTTAGCAAGTCACAGTTGTAGAATGCATGCAACACACATTGTCAAATGTTATTCCCCCTGTTATTCACTACATGCACCGCATGAACCATCTTTTCCAGACCCCCCAACGTCTCTATACCAATTAGAATTTGGAAATGCTAAGCCAATTCTAAACTCCTTTGACGGCTCCCCAGAACAGCTTGAGTTGCCATCGTAAAGTGAGTTGCATAATTGTCACCATACTTTGCCTTTTGACTGTCATTGTTGGAGTCCAAAAAGTGCCTCAAACAAATTCATGTAAACTTCTTACTCGGCACATTGCGATTTTGATGTAGTGAAAACCCCCTGCAACCCCCCTGGTACGCTATTCATGAACATTGATGCGTGCGGAGGGAATTTCCGTTTTGGAGGGGCCGGGGGGGAGGGGGGCGGTTTATTTGTTGGAAGGGGGAAGGGAAACATCATGCCGTGTCTATTAAGCCATGTTGAAGGTGCTTCTACAAAGCAATGAATGTATGCATGGGTGTACTGGACAACGTAGCACATATATGATCACACACGCCGTCTATCCTTGTCGGGGAAAATCAATAACACATTGACACCCTACTTGATTGACAAGAATAATACTATTGCGCAGCATTGACTTAATGGACATTCTGCAAGGTCCTTTTCATTGGCTGCCTTGCCCAAAAGTGGCTGTCCGAAGTTCTAAAATATCCTAGCTAACTTCCTCTTGACCTACCCTTTCAAACCTCCCCAACCACCCAGGATTACGCGCGACGACTCCCCAACTGTGGTCATGCTTAACAGAACTATTCGGGGAATAGAAACTGTGGATACCCTTGCTCAGGCTCAAATGGAAGCTTCAAAAACACTGTGGCAACATGCCAAACTTTCAGTACATGTCTTTTTTCTGCACGATTTCTGGCTGCGCCCATATTGGCCTCGGTCTTAAAGTCGAAAGCTCATATTTCCCATAAAGCGAACAAACCATTTGGGTATGGGTCAAAATTAGACCACCACGAATCGCAGGTTTTAGTCCTTGGTTCTCCATTTGCTAGGGTTGCATTTTGGGTACCCATTTTTCACTCACAGCCATTTGAGTCACAATCAAAAACCGGTATTCAAATGGTCTACCCAGAACCATGCTTCAAGAATTAAGAAGGCGGAGATCCGCAACGATTTCTGGCTGGGACTGCCCCTTACTAACCTTCATCTACCCCGGGTTTTGAGGACGTGGCTCATTTGAGTCACACGGCACCTCGTTCGAGTGCTGGGGTACAGCCAGCCCTCTGCTTTCGCCAGGCGGCCACCGCAGCCATGGCCACAAAGAGCAAGAGCACCGCGAAGGAGAACATGGAAACCTGTGGGTCCAAGTTTTTAACCAGCACAAAACAGCAGGTAGTCCTTGGCTCCATTTCCCAGGGTCCATTTTGGGCACCTATTGGTCCACAGCCACCTGGAACGGTGCGGCTGTGTTGCGGACGTGTCGTGCATTGTGTTTTTGTCCCCCCGAATTGTTACGCTCCAAAAGGAATAAGAGAGAGCCTGTTGGATGGGATGCGAGTCATCTATATCCAAACTTAAGAGGCGAACCTTGCATCTGGCGCACTCATAACGCGCTAACGTTGACTCTCTTACAATCAAATAGCCCCTGTTGGTCTGGATGGCTTCTGGTTGCAGGCTAGGTGCCGTGTTCTGAAGCCATTCAAAGGTTTGCTGTCAGTGATACCAAACATTGCCAACACAGCTGGTGCATTTGCTCCTCCTCTGACCCTTGGCATTGTGAATGACAAGGCTACTTTGCACCAGCTTCAATTCATGTGTTTATACATAGTTAACATTGAGGTAAACCGCGATCACTCAGCTTTCACTGCACATCACAGGGTCCAGAAGCTTAGATGAAAATTGAAGGCCATCGGAGCATATCAAATTTCGTGGAATCATTGTGCAAGATGTTGGCTGGTGAAGGTTCTTTGACGTTCTCGAAAAAGTCCTGACATGTTGAGACTGCTCATGTCTGTGACGTTTCTCCACTTCAACGTGGCTATATGTTCTTCTGCTCAATCGCAACTGGGGGATTACATTATTCGGAGAAAGCAACATGTTTTAAATGGTTGCAACATGTATCTTTTCAGGAGCCCTGCTGTTGTCCAAGCTTGGATCCACGGGCTTGCAGCTCAAGGTGCTGGCGGCAACATCACCGCCACGAACATCAAGGCCAGGGGTACGAAAATGCCCAGGGTGCTGAGAAACTGCGCCAAGAGGGACTGGCTGTCCAACATCCTGAGCAAAAAGACTGCCATTGCATGCAGAAACCACGTCAAGCATGTGCTTGCACCACGCGTTCGATTGCGGTGCAGAGGGGATGCAAGTACTTGACACTGGGTTCATTAGCGGGCGCCTTATCTGCGTGTCCCTCTATGCAGGGCACCTATTTGGGGTTGTTTTCAAGGGAAAATCACGGAAGGGGCGGTGGGTTCCAAAGGTCTCTAAACCCCGTGAATTTTGAGGCGAGGCCACATTGATGTTCTGTTTTGAGGATGCCTTTGTAGGTTTGTTCAAGAAGTAACTCAACAGAAGGAAACTGTCAGAGTCTCCAACAGGTCTGCACCACATACAAGGACACAGACACAGACACAAACACACACACGCACACACAGAGACACAGACATACAGCCGCGCAGACACACAGACACACAGACACACACACACACACACACACACACACACACACACACGCACTCACACGCACAGACACAGACGGACACAAACACAGACAGAGACACGGACACGGACACGGACACGGACACAGACACAGACACAAACACAAACAAAAACACAGACACAGAAACAGACGCAGACACAGACACGAACACAGACACAGACACAGACTCAGACACAGACACACACACAAAATACACACACACCCACACACCCACACACCCACACACCCACACGCACACGCACACGCACACGCACACAGGCACACAGGCACACAGGCACACACACACACACACGCACACACGCACACACGCACACACCCACACACACACACACACAAACACCCACACCACCCACACGCACACGCACACACGCACACACGCACACACGCACACACGCACACACGCACACACGCACACACGCACACACGCACACACGCACCCACACACACACACAGACACACACACACACAAACACCCACACCCACACCCACACCCACACGCACACGCACACGCACACGCACACGCACACCCACACACGCATGGTTCATTCACTAGGAAGTATTCATGCGTTGGATTTGGGTGCGCACTGGCATTGCATTGCTCTGGATAGCTATCATTCAATGCTTTGGCCTGATAATAAACTGTCCCCCCCGCACCGCTTAAAAAGACAAAACTCGTCGGTTGTGCATTATCAGGGTCCCCTGATTTTCGGCCAGAACTGATTCAGACTGCGTTGTTTAGTATTGGCATCGAAGAAAAAAGGGGCTCCCTTTGATGTTCAACAGAAAACACGTTCAGAATGAAACTTTTGAACAAGAACTGTTCAAGGGAAGGCGCGCTGGATTTGTGGAAAAGGAACCATTGCAAAGCCTCCTCTTGGAAAACCACTTATTCATAAAATATCGTTTGAGGGAGGCAGGCTAGGCAGGGAAACGAAAAG